CGAAGAGTTAGAAATTGGAGCAAGGAGAGGAAGAACATCGGATTGTCAGTTGTTGGTCAATTGTACTTAATTGGTAGATGTAAGCAACTCCCTAAAGAACAGATCTTTCAAACAAGTACTGTTAAGAAAGCTACAGTAAAGTAATTAAGAAAGCTAAATTTTTGTTATAATTTACGTGTATTTAATGTTACTAAGCAAAAACAATTTCGTTATTTATGCAAATTTTGTAAACTTTTACACGTGCAGAACGTAGTAATAGATCAAAAATTTCGATCCATTACCACGTTTCAATTCCTAAAGAAAAAAAAAATATAGAATTACTAATAAAATATTGTCATATAGAAACACACATGCCGGTGCATGTGAATTTGTATCCATATAAAAATATGCGTATACATAACAAATTATGTATACGTAATTCTAACAAGATATAAATATAAAAAAAAATATATAAAAAAATTAATCGTATAATACCTTTGCTTAATAACCAGAGACATCATTATTATAATGATGTAATATCGAAAGATCGAGATAATAAAACAAATAAATCTAAAGAAGCATGCGACTAATTGTGAGTCGAAGCAACAGGTTGTAGCGACGCGACGCGACGCGACGCTCAGAACTCTCAACCAACGAACGAACGGTCGACGACATTCGCGTACGCACACAACTGTAATCGATCTTTTTTCTCTTTCTTATACACTATTACTACTTATATACTAAACTGTTCTTATTGTGAACAGTATATATACGCGCGTGTATCAATGTGACTAAGGTTATCCGTAAACTTTCCTAATGTTAGCAAGCACATTTATCGTGTATTTCTTGCAACATCTAATGATAAATCCAATGTGAATAAGGAACCTTTCCACGCAATATGAATAATTTTTTCTGCTTTTTTATGTAGTCAATTTAGCACATTTCCACAATAAATACGGAACTGCATCGTACGAAATGATGAAAGAAGCAAAGAAAAATTGAATAAACAATAGCAGCAGCAATAACAATAGCAACAGGTCGTTATGACGCGGAACGTTATACGATTGGCGGAATGACTTGAGTATGAAATTCACTCAAACCGAATTCCATAATGGCTGACGCTTTACTCGACCATTTCAACATGTAATACACATTATACACTCCCCTGTGCAATATTATTCTACACAAATCATTTGCTATTTCACAATGAAATTTACACACAACGTACAGCTTGAATATGAACTGCAAAGTACACAATTAACCGGCAAATCACTGAATAAAACACTTCGATTCCGCGTGACTCGCTGACAAACAAGCGGTAGCGTCTTGACTCGACGCCATCGAGATATTTGATCGTACCGTATTATTTTTAAAAAATATTAACTATTAACTACTTTGTGTAGAAACAAATCAATTATCAAACAAACTGCTACCCATGAATTTTAGTGCAACTCGAGAACTAAAGCATACGAATAAACTGAAGATACAATGCTTTGTTCGGAAATTCTGTAAGCGCGCGCGCACGCGCGCATCAGGATGATAATGGAGTCTGGGTCCTTGAAAACTGAAATCGTACCCTTTGAAGAAATCTGGTCAGCTCTCTTAGATGGAACGAGAGAACCCCTCTCTATACGATATAAGAAGGCACACTGTCCTTTTTCTACCAATAAGAATGAATCCAACGTTCCCCTCCATCGAAGAGTATCCTTTGTGGGAGACTTACAAAGAAGGGGAGGGGATAATGGCGGCGATCTACCTGGACGATTTTTGTGGCGGGAATTACGGTGCTTCAACAAGATCCTACAACAGCGCTTCGGAACGAGAAACCACCTGCCGGGAAATAGCATCGGAAATTTCACTAGTATTAACGTTAAACATTGACAGTTATACAATGTATAACAAGACACTTTGGTTTCTAACATTTGGTTTGTAATGATACAACTGTTAATAACAATATTGTAATCCCGTGAAATTTTCCATATTGTTATAATAAAAAAATATAATAAAATTTAATTATATATAAATATATATTAAAACCTTCCAATATATATCTTGAAATGCAGATTAAAAAAAACATAATTATACTGAAAATTTATTTTGTTAATTACAGAGAAATAATAATCACTAATTTCAGTAATAAATAATTTCAATTTCAATACAAATGAAAACATTTAAACTATCCATAATTGTATATAATTCGCTACATGTATTTGTTAATATAAATTTGAAGTAATTTACGGAAGAATTGAATAGTATATTAATAAATGGAAAAATAAAAAAAAAAGTAAAATTTTGTAAAAAAAGTAAAAAGTAATATCTCGTATAATTTTGTGAAGTAGAATTCCGAACGTTCTATGAAGACTAAAATCCTCAGGTAGAAACCTTACGTCATTGCTACTATAGACCATAGATCGACCATAAAGAATGTGAAACAGTGTTGCCAAAGCCATGTATATCATTGCACTGCCAAGGTTGAGTTTCAATATAAAATTCGTTTCGATCATTTTGATAAGTAACATAATAATCTTTTAAGAAAGTAATGTTTAAAAAATATTTATGCCGTATTTTACTATATTAAAAAGACAACACGTATCTCACAACTTTTTTATAAAACATAATATTCTACAAAATTGTATGTACGTAGATACATTTAAATTACATTTTAAGGTTATAAAACCTCATATATCTTGTATAATATAGAACATTTATAATTATAAGCTATTGACAAAACTATTAAATCTTTAATACAATGACAGTAGAGTATATATTTTTGAACAAAATATTTTCATTAAGAAACGAAATGTAAATATTGTTGATTATAATGAAATAAAAACATTCTATATAAGAAAATTTGATTATACGTCAAATATCTAATTTGTAAGATTATAATTTTAAACATTTAACTTAAGAAAGAGTAGTTTGATAAATCTGGCAACAATGGCAAAAAACCATTACAGGGGTGGAGACCTTCCCTCTTGAAAGAAAGAATAAAGAGAATGACCAATTTTTGAACTCAAATAACCTTAAACTCAAATAAGCTTAAAATTCAATAAAAAATGAGTTCACTTTCAATAAAAAAATCAATGAAAAATATAACACTTCTACTCATAATTATTAACATATTAGATTAAAAAAATATTTTCAATAAATTATATGTCCAATATTCTTAAATTTTTTTAATTAACGAAAATGTATATATTTTACTACTAAAGTTTAAATTATAAAATATAACTAAACATTAAAATAAAACATTAAAATAAAAAATAATTGAAATAAAATCTTACCTTTAATGTAGTACATTCTCCATTGCTGTATATATCCAAGACATTATTACTAGTATTATATGCAACAAGTATATGTAAGAATAATATGTAAAAATTACATAAACTTAAAGAAATAAGAAAAATGAACGGATGTTAAATCTGTTACTAATAAACATACATGAAAGGATACGTAATTTCTTCTTTAGATTGTGTATCAAGATGTATATTTGTTTGGGTAGAAAATTCTAAAGAACATTTGTTGATTTTTTCTAAATCTTCCTTTTCAAATTTAATAAGGTTGTCTATTGTTGGATTAATATTTAAAGATTGTGGAATTGTATATGCTACCCATAACTCTATAAATTTTTCCTCATCTATGTTATAAACATGACAAAGTCCAATACCTAGTTAAAAAGAATTATTTAGAAATATGTTAATAAGTTAATTTCACATAATTATTAATTTCACATAAATCATGAAATTAACTTTCATACAAAATTTTAAATGTATAAATTAATTTTACTAGAAGATACAAACATCATAATGATATAATATAAACGTTCCAAAATAAAGTTATAAAATATAAATTTCTCAAAGTTGTTTTAAGGATTACGAAAACATACATAAATATATATTTATGAAAACATACATAACAGCATAAATAATGCAATCATCATCAAATATGAAGAATATAAATATCTTTAATAAAATATCTCTAATAAATTAGGAAATTTATATAGGTTAGGAGTAAATCTACACTACATTTTTAAAATAAATTCAAAGATAACTTACATTTATCGATCACAGATTTATCGGAAATATCACATCCTAAATTAGAGAAGCACGAAATTAACGATTCTTCCGACACCATTTTACCACACAACACACAACTGTTCTTCAGGTTTTTCCCGCCAATTTGACAAATTAATATACATGCGCAGTTAGAATCTACTACTACATGGACAGAAAAAATGCGCGCCATATATTCAAATATGCTAAATTCTACGGAGTGGTAACGCTTTTTGTAGAAATTTTTTTTCATAAAATATAATGTACAAATATTTAATTTCTATTACATACACAATAAAGTAATAAAAATTTGTAATTTTACAAATATATTTAATCTTATTAGGATACTTTATTAAGATTTATTAAGAAATAAACCATTTCCTCATAATTATATATGTATATGGTTTTTATCCATATGTACATATATAAACATTCTCTTTACCAACATTTGTATCAAATAATTAGTTTTCAAGCGTGAAATGTTGTTTATCTTTTTCTGAAAGTTCAATAAGAACTTGTGAAACATCTGCAGAGGGAAATCTTTCTATCCAAGATTGAATCATTCCAGCAAAATCGGGTTCATAGTTTTTTAATTTTACTTCATTTTCACCTGTCATGATAAATAAATTAATAACATTGCAAAAATTTATAATAAATACGCATAATTGCAAATACAAACCATTCACAAATGTATTAGATTGTACAAATATCTTTCGAGGTTCTTTATGAGCTAAAACTATATTTCTCCAACGCTCCCATGGATGTGGTCCCGTCTCGGGCACTTCACTATATTTGTTATACATCTTTTTGGCTTCTTCAATGTCACCCGTACTTTTATAAATTTGTAACTTGGTTAAAAATTCTCCAATTGCTTTTTTACCAACTGTTAAAATTTTCGTTCTATCAACAGTTAATAATAAATTCTTTCCTGGTTCAGACTCCACAACATTCACAAAATCACTGCCAGCTTCTAAACAAACTCTAAGTAAGACATATCTTGCTTGAGAGTGAGCCTGCAGCCACTTCTTAGTTGATGGTTGATACATTTCTAAAGACTTTGCACAACCAGTCCATAATAAAGATAACCAATTAACGTACATTATATCATCAGCTTTAGAATTTTCGTGTCCAAATATACTCAGTATATCTTTTTCTAAAGATAAATATAATCCAACTGCTTCTGCCCTGCATTCTTCATAAGAAGATCCCATTGGACCAAATTTTGAATCATATGTTTCTCCAGGCAAAAAAAATTTATTTATTGATTCTTCAGTAAGAGGATTTTTTACTTTTTCTATATCAAAATTGTATGAACCAGATTCTAACTTCCTCAATAATTTACCTGTTCCATGACCAAGAAGTTCATGCAAACCTACTTGTACTTCAAAACTAGCTATTCTATGCTTATTCATTAATGCCTGATCATATTCAGATAAAAATGGTAGTATATCCACTTTCATGTTTGCAGGAAGTACATTACCCAAAGAAACATTTTTAAATCCTTCTGACTGCCTAATTTCATCATAATTTGGAATATTTATACCTACAGGAATACCAGATCCTGAGAATGTTAAAACATCCAATGAAGTAAAATCTGGCCTTAGATATTCATCTTTTTCAAAGTCTTTACCCCAAGGAAGTTTTGGTATAAATTTTTCTGCATTACTCACTAATGTAGCAAACTTTTTGGACATTTCTTTATTTACCATTGCTACAAATCCTTCAAACTCCCCTCTTTGACCAGCTGGATCTCTGTAGGTTTCAATAAAACCAATGTAAGTTTCTATAACTGGTCCTTTGTCTTTAATCCATAAACGAGAACCATCTTTATGATCTTGTAAAGATCCTGTTTTGAAATGCTGTATATATTTATTCAACATATTTTTTTCAATTTCATTTGCAGCATATTCTTTTGCTTTTTGAAGATTATCAACAACTGGAATCAAAAGTTTACTATAGTCTCCTCTCGTAATTTCAAATTTTGCATTTTTAAATACTTCTTCTGACAGTGTAATATTAGTATCATTACTGGTCTCTACAGAAGCCAATCTGATTTCATACATGTCCATATATTTTGAAGTTTCAGAATCATTTTGTTGATTCACTATTTTAAAACATCTAGCATTATAAGATTCTAATCCTTTACTTTGCATAAAATCATTAACTAATTCTGCATCTTTGTCTGTGCAATTAGCAGAAAAATAAGTTGTAATCCCTTTTTCACCTAATCCCAAAGATTTTAATTTCCTTTCTATAAAATATATTATATTTTGAATTTTATCCCAAATCTCTCCAATTTCTTTGGGATTATTTTTATATGCCTCTGAAACTTTTATTATAGCTTCAAACTTATTCTTAGGCAAGTTTGGTATTATTTTGCTATCACCAAAAGATTTATAATTACCAGCATTTGCAAAGATTCCACAAGAATATACTAAAAATGCCTAAAATATAATACAATTATAAAATTAACATTAAGAACTATTTTTTAAAAATTAAAATTGTTATTTTTATATTACTTACTGTAAATTCATCTTCACTAATACCGGCGTTAAATGCAGAATTTTTCAATTCATTTATTGTTTCAGATATGAAAATTTTATGTAAAAGGGCAAATATTAATGGTGATTCTGGGGAAGTTTGTATATATACAATAAGACCACCATTCCACGCAGCTTGACTTAAATAATGTGCATATAATTTTTCATTTTTTGTTAATGAATTAAATGCATTGTCACATTCTAAAGCAATTATTGGCTGATTATTTGGCAAAGTAAATAAAGAAATATCTTCACTCATTTTTGTAGATAACAATTTTACACTGGAATGTAAAGTTCTAATTTACAATAATAAATTTATTAATTATATTTAAAAAATATATATAAATTTTATTGTATATATGTATATATTAACACACAATTGTTAAATACTAAATAATAACTTCTCTATAATAATAACGTTTTATAAAAATATTAAAAAGAAATACGGTCAAAGTAAAAATTTAGATTTTTTTATACATGTATACTCATATATACATGTATGTATATCTCATTGTAAAATGTCATATAATACATAACCAACCTTGAAACAAAATTATTTCCTAAAGGCTTGACTTTTTTATTGGTATTTAGAATTACAAATCCAACTCTTCTTTTCTTAATATTAACATTAAATGAAAAAGGCCGTAGAAAATATTGAAACACAGTTCGTGAAATAATTTTCTGTCGATAAAATGGCCACATGTGTAATACTGGGCCTCGTTCGCGGTACAATTTAAACATTACAATATATGCGATAACAACTAACTATTTTTTGATATTTATATACACAATTGAATTATTATCTATTATTAAAGAATTATTTGCATGCATTAACTTATTATGTACATTTTCTAAGCATAAAAACAATTACTAAAATTTCCTAGATTCTAGATAATCTAGTTTTTATCTTTACTAAAGGTTTCTAATTTATTAAGATGGATCACAAATAAATTTTTTGTGAAAGTTTCAAGTAATTTATTTTCGTTTTTAAATGCACATGTTACTCATATAAAAATTTTAGCTTATTTATAAAAATATAGACATATTAAATTGCTACTATATATATTTGATATATTACTTTTATGTATGCTATCATATATGTACCTCCATATATATATATATATATATATGTATTCTTTCATTAGATTTTACATGTTACACAATAATTATTTAACGATAACTCCTAACTTATTTATTAGATTTCACATGTTACACAATAATCATTTAACGATAACTTCTAACTTATTCATTACGTTTTTTATGATAAAACAAATTATGTATACTTAATTTTAATTAAAACTAATTTATATTTTATAGAAGTACAAAAACTAATTTATATTTTATAGAAGGTACATTTTTAAATAACTCTTTCAATAAACACAAGTGTTTAATACTATTATTCTTTAACATCACCAATACCATCTGCATTTATTGCAAACATTGCTTCACTTTCAGGCAAACAAGGTGAATCATAAATTTTGCATATCCTAGTTTCACCTCTACCTTTACGTAAATATAATCTTGTAGTACTTGCATGAGCTATAATATGACCACCAATTGGTTTTTTCTGATCACCACCAAACATGCTAGCTGCACCATCAACTTGTGCCACAACTTGATTGGTTATAATAACAGCAACACCATGTTCATCAGCTAATCTAAGTAACATTCTGAGGAACCTACCTAAATGTGTTTGTCTAGCAGCTAATTCTCCTCTTCCAGAATATTCAGTTCTGTATAAACTAGTTGCACTATCTACTATCAATAATGCATATCTAGATTCTGTCATCATAGCGCTAGCCTGAATTAATAATTGAGTTTGATGATCTGTATTATAAGCTCTAGCACATGCTACATTATCTAATACAGAATCCCCTGCTATTTTATATCTTTCAGCTACAGCAATTAACCTTTCAGGTCTAAAAGTTCCTTCTGTGTCTATATAAAGACATTTTCCTTCTGCACCACCCATATCTATTGGTAATTGACAATTAACAGCAAGAGTATGACATAACTGTGTCTTTCCTGATCTAAATTCTCCAAATATTTCTGTAATAGAACCAGTCTCAATACCACCTCCTAATAATCTGTCCAATTCACTGGAACCAGTCGTCACAAAAACAATATTAGAACGAGTTTGATGAATTTCAGTAGCACTTTTAAATCCCATTACAATAAGTTTTGAAGCTTCTTGCAAAATTTTATCGGCTTTGGCTTCACTAATACCTTTGATAGCAATTAGACACTTTTTGGGAGTGTAAGCTACAGCTTCCACAGTGTAATAACCAGCTTCTTCTAACTTTTTTATATCGGCTGCTGTTATACCATTTCCCTGAAAAAGAATACACATATAAATATATATTTATTAAATAATTTTATATATTTTTATATATTTTATATATTTTAATTTCATATATAATATAAAATATTTCACATAAACATTAAAAAAACAAAGATATGAAGATATGATATAGGTTAAAGAATTAACTTCTAACCTCGAGAGTTTTTATTAATTTTGCCTGTGGATTATATTCTTCAAAATCTTCATCTCCTTGAATACTAGCTGTGGTTGCCATAGTTGTCATTTTTTAGGAAAATATACTTAAACGAAAAAAAAAAAAAAATTAACACGAATTTAAAGCAAGTGTTAATTTTACGCCAAAATATCACACCATCAATTCTAAAGCAAACTTTAAATTATACAGTTTACATTATTTATCACTATTTCAGTTTTATATAGATAATGTAATATTTAACAATAAAATTATAAATTATTATTATATGAAATGTTATTTATATTAGTCTCTGTTTATTGTCCCCGATATATCTGGCAATTACGTTAGTATCGATACCTGTTGCTATAACATTCCAAATAGAGATGAAAAATGAAAACTAAGTATGAAAAATAAATGTAAAAATTCGTATTAATTTTGTTGATAATTCTAAATCTATAAATATAAAATCGTTTACGGTTTAATATAAAAACTAGATTACGTATTTATCGACGATCAATATACAAAAGTTCTGTTAAAGATGTCTCTTCATTCGAAATGAAATCGAGGAAGAGAAAAAGTTCAGGAGCGAAAGGCATTAGGTCGAGACAAGATCTCACGTCTGATCATTAAGACAATTGTATATTTATTCCTTAGAGTGCTTTCAAAGGGGAACGTTACATGAACATTATATATTTCTATGCGCGATTCTTCATTGAATCATCGTTGGATTAATAACAAATTTAATTTCCCAATAACAATGGCGACTTTACATAAGCATTTTTGTTCATCAAATATACCTATAAGCGCTGTGTTTTTCGATCTGGACAATACCCTCATCGAGACTAGAAAAGGCGACAATCAAACATGTCAAAAGGTATGCTAAAATATTTGAAATTATATTGATATTTAAAACCGTATGCATATGTATAAGCGATCAGTATTGGTTAATATATTAGAAATATGTGTGTTTATTACGTCTCTGGAGAGTGCGCGGGAGTTGTAGTTGAATGACGAATGATATTTAAGAAACTTTGAAGTCATTTGTATTACAATATTAATTTGTAAATTTGAAAATATATATGTTTCTATGATAATTTTTTGTTTTGTTTAAAACAAAAAAAATATCGTAGTAATTACGTTTACGTTTAATCTTTCAATTTCATTTGAATACGAAGATCGTACAAAAATAGATGCTTCTGTGTAATATGAGCTGACTCCCTGATATAGTGCTTTCTCTCGGACGGTTATTTTCGACCGATCCTACTGCACACTCCAGACGCTCAACAGAACGTAGAAAAAGCGTGTAAGCACGTTACTGAAGATATTCGCGCTCTTGAGATACCAGTTAATTGTACAATTGCATTCACGAGTTATATCATGTGAAAAAGGTTATGTTAGAACTATGTGTATATTCGAAATCGTTTACTAATAAAATCCTATAATATGTGGTCATTCTAAACAATTTTTCATATTGTTATCTTTAATACGAAATTTAAACATAAACAATTAATATATTTCTCGTAATAAATAAAAAGAAATTAAAAAAACATTACTAACTTTATATCGCCAATTCATATTTCAATGTAATGTATACGCATTTGTGGTAGTACAACTTTATTTCTGTCCGACTAAGTGAGTGTGTCAAAGGGCAAGGCTAGTTTTAAGGCGTTGATCTGGGAGTAATGCCAGTTGGCTTTTAGCTGTGACATGTGAAAGATATAAATCTCAGTGAATTTTAAATGCTATTTAAGTAAATATCGATATTCTAAAATTGTGAATTGCATTTGGAAGATTATTATTGTATAATAAAGAATAAAATTAGGAAAATATTTTCAGAACATAAAAAAAATATTTTCTTTTTGTCAAATTGTTACAAAATAAACTACAATCATGAGTATTTCAAAGAATGTAAAGAAATATGAAACTATTTTAAAATCTGTTGAAACCGATTCAGAAAAATTTGCTGCATTGTTTATGATCACAAAATTAGTGGATAGTAAAGATTGTACAGCAGCAGAGAAGAAAGTATTATTTGAAGCTATTGGAACAAAATTTTTAACCAAGTTATTATCTACACAAGTAGTTCCTGTGGATTGTCCTCCACAAGTATATAAGTCTGTAGCATTATCTATACTTTCTGCATTTTGTGGAGAACCAGAATTAGCTTCTCATCCTGAAATGATTACTCATATACCTGCACTACTTGAAATTGTATCACAAGCTGATGAAGATGCAGATGATAACATGTTAATTATTGTTAGTGAAGCATACACATGTTTGCAACACATTGCACAATATCCTCCTGGACAACAAATTTTATTTGAACAGAAAGCAATTACAAAAATGTGTGATATTTATGCAGAGAAAAGCTTTCAGACAGATCAAGCTTTGAACATTTTAGTTACTTTAGTTCAGAAATTTGGTCCAGAAGCATGGGATGCAACAGACTCCAAGCCTTTCCATGTTATTATAAACAAAATTGCATTAGATTTTGAAACGGATCATACAGAAAGAAAATTTCAGTTATGTACAATTTTACAAGCTTTATTAATGTCTTGTAGAAAAAACATAATTAGTGAAACTGCTAAAGAAGAATCTTGGCCATCTAGCATTCACAAGGCTTTGTCTGATATTCTTGGATCAAAGATAGGTAAAAATCAACGTGATCCAGCATTAAAACTTGTTTCTGTCATGCTAGATTCACTAGGAGCCGAATGGGCTTTATTAGATAAAGAGAAACCAAAAGTATTTTTGTTATTATTGATTCAACTAGCATCTATAGAAGTTAGAATGCAAGTGGAAGGAAAACAATTAAAAACTATAATGGCAAATGCAGATTTGGTTACATCTTGCTTTATCATTATTGAAATTTCTGTTGGATATATTACTAATGATCAATTGGACTTAGACCAGAAAGAAAAACAGTCATTATATACTGTTTTAAAAGGAGCTTTTGCTGCAATTATTGGTTTACTTACTGCAGTATCTAAGATGAAAGAAATAACAGATGTTAAAGAAAAAATATTTATTTGTGCTGTGATAAGAGTATTAGCAGCATGGCTTGCTCAGGAAACAACAGCTATGCGTTCTCAAGTTTATACAGTCTTACCATATGTATTAACAATAGCCAATGACACATTTTATGCGCACAGGAATAGAAAATTGTCAGAGAAGGCTAAAGCAAATGCTAAAATTAAAAGTGATGAAGCAACATCGTCTGGAGAATTAGTTATTCATGATCCTTTAAGTGAAATTGACTTGTTGAGACTTCTATTGCCAGCATTATGTTATTTAGCTATAGAAGAAGATGCTCGAAAGATTTTAATTAAACATAAACAAGAAGAAATCTTGTTTGAATGTTTATCTTATCATTGGACAATTGTACACCATAAAAAGCCACCAATACCAAAAGCAGAAAGATTAAAAGCATTAAAAGAACCAGAAAAAGAAGAAGATTTAGACCTTCATATATCAGAAGCAATCAAAGATTCAAGGACAGCCATGGTTTCTGTGTGTAATGTTTTAATGAATATTACTGTATTAGAGGCAAAATTAGTGGAGGAATCACCAACATTTATTTCTTTATTGAAATTTATTTTCAATAATCTCCCAGAACTTAAACAAATTCCAGAAAATCTAGTCTTGCATGGTCATCTTGCAGTACTGGGATTGCTATTATTGAAACAACAGGCAGCACGTGTCAAGAAAAATGATTTTTCCATATGTCGATACATTCAAGCTACTATAAGATTTTTATGGGATGCGTATATAATTGATGAAAGCAATGATCCCACAGAACTTGTTGTTGCCATGTCATATAAAGAACGATGGATGGAACTTATGGAATTATGGTTTCTTGGAATGCAAACAATGGCTGGAGTGTTACAAGTTATACCTTGGCTTTCACAATTTACTCTTGAATCTGGTTGGGCAGAAGAAATTATTGAAATTCTCAAGAAAATAAAGATAGGAAGTCTTCAGCCAAACGTAAAATTTGCCTTTGAAGATCTACTGTGTCATTTAGTTAAAGCAGATGAAAATGCTGCTTCTGTTTTGAAGAAACATGGAGCTTTAACAGTATGCAGAAATCATCGTATGATGGAGCTTGGAAAACATCTTTTTGGAGATTAAAAACAGTTTAAAAAATTTATATTGATATTCTATTATCATATTTAAATGAAAATACTATATACCTGTATATTGATAAAATAGCTAAGATGTTTAATCTATTCTTATGTTGTTAAGTAATAAGTTTATTTGTGTATATGTTTTTTTTTTATATTATGTTATGCTGCATGTCAAAGAAATTATTAATAATAATTGTCATCTCATCAAAATACATATCAAAATACATATACTCAACACTT